AAGATCAAGGCACCTTGAAAACAATTTTCAGATAAAGTTGTGGAAAGGCACGGAGCAAGCTAGGGCTATAAAAACATTTCAAAGGCCCTGATTAGGCGCTTGAAACACTCAAGATGGAAGTGATCTCGAAGACAAGCTAATCTGCTCAGTGTAGGAGACGTTCCAGGTAAGAAGGGCTCTGGTTTGCAGAGTCAAGGACAAAACGACAGGTCAGTAATGGGTTTCGTTCTCAGTTATAACCAGTTTGCAAAAGGATGAGGAACTGGGGAGACAGAAGTTTGCTTATTATTACCAAAAAGGGTGTGGAAAATTGTAGGAAAATATACTTCAGGCTAATAATACAAAACAGTGAACTGTTTGGCCTAAAAATAAAGTGTTAATTTAACAAAGCACAACAACCAACACAAGTTGTCTGACCAGTGCCATGGAAACGCCTGAAACATTCATTGGAACAATGAAGACAGATGGTACTAAACACAGACAAAAAAAAAAAAAAACTTTTGTGTCAGAAGATCGAAGGAAATTAAGGAAAGTAACATGGAAGACAGAATATAGTGATTTAAGCAAGGTGTGGCAGGATGGTGAATGGATGGATGGACAATGTAGGTGCAGATTCATCCACAGGATGATCTCCTGGAGATGGACAGCCGAATCATTCAGCTGCTCCTCTGTATGTCTGTTTGTTCAACATCTCCTGTCATTCTAAAGATGTTTTGATAACATAAAATCCGTATATCTCATTTTGCACAACTGGATTACCTTGGAAGTGTGTCATTAACACGCATTATTAGTCAAAAAATGTCAACCATATTTAAACCATATATTTAAAGTACATTTGTTTCTACCCACTGCATTCAAAATGACCTACTTGAAGGGACATACATAGCATGCAATTTGAAGCTTATTGTTATACAAGTGGATATTTTATACAACAAATAAATTTGCAGGAGGTTCTTGAGCAATGGCTGCTTTTAGGCTGACCATAAAACAGCACTGAACAATAGTAAGAGCGAAACGAACAGTACGAATGAACAGGAAGCAGGTGTAATATATCAGTACAGGCGATTAAAATCTTCAGATCGTCCCCGGGCAGACGCCAGTCTCCGCCTCATAGGCGGTTACTGGTGAATCCTGTCGAACTGACTGGTCCTGATATTACCTGAGCCAGTTTCCGAGAAGCGTAGTGAACTTTTTTTTAAAAAAGCGTTTCCCAAAAACAGGGTGCTTTGTAACTCCACCCGTCACTCTAATAAACAGTAACGTGATTTGAAACTTGTCTGTGATTAAATACGGACAGTGCATGTCAAGAACAGTACATTAATTATAATCACATCTAAGAATTAAATTGGTGCTCTTAGACCGCTTAACACATTTGGGTGTCTAGTGCTTTCAGTGACATCACGCTACCTACTGTGCCACCTTGCCGTCCTGCCACTTGGTGCTCTTCCATAAACTCACCAAGAGCTGTTTCCAGGTCCAGCAAAAATCTCCAGCCCAAGGTCTGCTTTAAATCAACTCGGCGGGAAAACTCTGTCACCAGGGGACTTTCTCCCCCGGCCGCGCATAGTCCAAAATGACACCGCAATACAGGAAGATGGTGGTGCAGCCCTCCTGAAATATGTTTGGACCCACCAATTGCCCACTTAATATTGATAATTGAATGCGGATCGAAATTTTCCCAAACTCACGTGTGCGAGACAAGCGTAATTTTAAAAGCTCCCTCAAATCCGATTTGTAGGAATTCTAATGTGGTGTGTGTGTGTTGGCTCCATTGACATTGGGTGGTTCACGGTGACTGGTAGATAAACCTCGTCAGCGATGGCTTCCACTGCTGAACCCCTCATTTAAGCTAGCTGCATTTTTGCGAATTATTTTTGTCGTTATATTTTTGGCATAATTTTACAGTAATAAAAACGCATTTGAAAAATTATGTGTGCTGACTTAGTTAGTAGTGCATGAGACGTTTTTTTCTCAGGGTCGTGGGTTCGAGGCCCATCTTATAGGCGATGTCGTGTGTCTGGCTCAAATTCTGAATAGGTAGGCTACTGTTGCCCCGTTGAGGAAATGCTGGTACAGAAATCGCAAAGGACTCAGCAAGCGTGAAAGCGATTTGCACATTTTAAAAATCACGTTTTAAAAACTAACCTGAACCAGAAACTAAAAAGTCGACCCTTACCCGGTCGGAAACCAATATTTTGTTGGTCCCCGTCGGATCGCAGACCTCTAAACGTTGTTTATCTCAATGAAGGGCTAAATTGGACAGGTCAAAATTAAAGTAACACGAAATACCTGTATATGTGCATGTGCAAAAGGTGAATCAAACATCATCATGAAGTAATTGTTTGTCTTTAGTAATCCCCTGGTAGTATCCAATGATATTTTAATTGTTCTTGTATTTGAATGAGACCGCATCACTCAAGTGCTGCAATTTGCTTAATTGGTACAAAAGTAAACGATTATGTCATTAAACTTGAAAACTCGCTGTTTGGTTACAATTGTTTTGTCGAGATGACAGATTTTTAGAAAATCCAGTGCTTCTGTTTTGCACTGATAATAGCGATAATATAGGGTAGCGAGGGTTATTGTACTTTGTAAATTTTTACACGTGCCTTAGACTGACATATGTATTACAATAGTAGGATTGCCATGTGGATTAAGGGATTTGCAGACTATTTGCAGAGCTACAGAAGTGATGAATCCAGAGCACAACAGCATGCAGGGGAAAAGCACCATATGCTTTCTGAAGTTTAACAGCACTGGGCAGTGAACATATATTGGTAAGTTCACGCCTTCATGCTTTGCTGGAGAAATTCTGTCTGCTCGACATTTCTCCTTCCCAGCCAAAGGGCTCCTCCTTCTTGTCCGCTGTTTCATTCTCCTTCCGTTACTATCAGCTTAAGTCCTGCTGCTGTGATCAGAAATGACTCACTGCTCCTCCACCCTAGAACAATTCTGCCACCTCTCAGTCTGTGAAGTTTTCTCTCAAACACCATGTCACTGGCAAACACCAGAGATTAGTTTCCCTGCCAAAACACATACACACACATACTCTCTGACAAAACACATGCACACACATGGCCTAGGAACATCTGGAGATCCCTCAGAATGAGCTAGAGTCTGTGGCTGTGGGAAATGACATCTGGTCTGACCTGTTGCCATCACAACCCTCACCAGGAGAAGCAGCGAGGAGTTGAGATGAGCTACCATCCCTTAGCTAATGTGATGAGGATTCTAGAGTCGATTCACCAAATCCTCCAGAAAGAGGTCTAAAAGAAAGGCTGGGATGTCATGTGATACCAGCAAATTCAGGCACACATCATCTGTGCCTAAGATACTCAACAGCGTCATCTAAACAGGTCAATCTCTATATTCCAGCGAGGAGACTCATGTAAGGTGAGAACCCCCTGTGGGAGTAGGGCAGAGGAAGCAGAGGTAGTAGTCAAGGAGACGGAACATGAAGGGAATTTCCCAGCGACTCCCACTCAGAAACCAATTTGCACCTTCCATACACGAGCTTCCACTTCAGCTGAGGCCAAACCACTGTGGATACTCTTCTGCTGCTTGCATCCGCAACGGGACGAAAAACAAGGGGGCTTGTGGGAATCTCTGCCTTTATTGAGTAGGAAAAATGCAACGGGCGCTGATTAATGCACTTATTTATGCACTTGTCAGTCCTGTCTTCAAAGTGCTCGAGCGCTGACATTCTGTTGAGTGTGAACGCCAAGCACCCAGCGGTACGTTACGGGATTTGCAAGAGCATCGTAGCCTGTGAATGGAAGTAATTGGACGCGTTCCCCGTAAAGCAGTAATGGCATGCTTTCGGTGGCCAGTTGGCAGCTGCTCTGCTTCCACTGCAAATTGCAGCATCCATATAAATGATTAAAATCACAACAGTGTCTGTCCATCCATCCATCCATCAACTACCTGCTAATGCAATTTAGAGATTCTGGATAACTGGGGGCTCTTAATTTTTTTGATGTGTGTGTCTTGTGATGCACTGGCATGTTGTCCAGGGTGTATTGCAGGCTGGTGTTGGCTGGCATAGGTTCCAGGCTCTCCTGTGATCCTGACCAGGATGGGCTATAGAATATGATAAATACTCAGCTTATTTTCACAGCGTCGTGTACTCCAGCTCTAAGCCACAATTCTCTTGACTTTTTTTTCCTGTTGACAAATTTAACATCATATTGTATTGTATAGTAATTGTTTTGAGCCAACTGATGTTAGCGTATTACATTTTTCTTGCATATTTCTAGTTAAGCGTAACGCCTGATACTTTTCCTAAGTGCACATCAAATTCCAAAATATGATAACAGACCTTAAACTGCCGTATCCCAACCTTTTTTCTGCCACGGGTCATTTCCCATAGGGCAGCGTTTTTCAACCCGCGGTGCCCACACGTGATGTGAAACGCTGCCTTATACCACTAGATGGCGACACGCACCATTAATGCGTAGTCTCGGGGAGCTAAAAGAGAAGCTTACTTTCCTAACCCAAACTCTCATGCAAAACAATGCAGTAATTGGTTGTTAGCGCCATTTTCATCGCTTAAGATATTGATGGGTGCTTAGGATCCGTCGCGAAATGCGGTTGACCTATTTGGTTCCTCATGTCTTTTAGCGCACCCAGGGATCGTTTTGCACAAAAATGCAAATATGTCAAAACATCACTGTATCACCGCACGATGTTGCATAGTAGTGTGCGTTGGTTTATCCGTAACATAAATCCAATAACATGAAAATGTAGTTCAGCTGTCTATCATTATTTATTTGATCACTATCGCTAGCAGCGCCTCAATAGACCTTTAATTACTAGACATACGATATACACGAATAGATTTACTAGACATATACGAATAAATCTACATATACTTTTCATGGCAATGAAGAGTGACATCCCGGTTCATGTGCTTTGACTTCATATCGATAATTTTAATATGTAATTATACGGAGCTTTGTGTACAGACCAAAAGGCAGACATGATATAGGAAGGAGGGAAAAGCCGTTTTGCATCGTAATTTATTATTCCACAGTAACCAAAGCATCGGACAAGTACCGTACTTGTAAATTGCATTACAGGCTTCATATCCTGGGTGATCTGGTCAGATGAGCTGCATTCTTCGGGAACATACAGTAACAATGCAGAGTACTGGAGCAGAAAGAGTACAGCAGGTAATGAGCAGGTTCACAGAACCAGCCACGATATGAAAAGTCTAACAGACATATCTGCGTACCATGCCTTTCCATTTAACGCAAACAAAACAGGAAACATCACAGTTTAACCCGCCTCCCCCATTCGTACTGCAACTATCACATTTATATAAAATATAGTCTTTATATTTCTACAGTACATTCTCTATTTTGGGTCTGATAAATATGTATCAGTGCAAAATATATACGCGAGTCCATGCATACACGATATACATAAAACACAATAAATAGTCACCACAAATACTGCATCAAAAAAGACAGTTCTGTTGGTGTGAACAGCCGAGCATACAGTGATGAGAACAGGCAGCATTTGCAAACATGATGATAGTCCTGGGCGTGGAAGACCACTGAAGAAGTTCACGCGGGGGGGCTGGATACAATAAAATTAACTAAAATCTCCACTGATGGGGAAAAATGGATGAAGCGAGGGGGCGCCAGTATCTAGCGTGGTTATTAAAGACAGGTCCTAGAATCGGGACTTTACAGCAACTGCACTACGCAAAACCATTGAGCTCGAATTTCTCCCTGAAAATATTCGGGGGAAACTGTATGAGGAAACTATGATGATACTATTCGGCCAGGTAATAATGAAAACAATTCCCACAAATACTTCAGTATTTTGATTGACGTGCTACAGCGGATCTGGTGTTAAACAATCCCAATAAGAGCCGGGTCCCGCAGGGTTCTGTGCCCCGCCCTACTAATTAGGACAACAATGTGCAACATGATGCAAAGAAAACACTGCCTTGTACTCTGTTAGCTGGGAAACGGCACTTGTAACCTTAAAAAAATGCTACTCGTTCCAAACGTGGTTGAATAAAACAGGAAAACAGCATCTGCTCCACTGATAAATATATAATGTGCTTTATATACCTATCAATCATCATACCCCGTCGTTATAAGGGCATCTCCAAATTTTTCACAAGGTTAAACGTTAGCATATATTCACGGATATGTACTTGCTGTCATTATTGTCGCATTTGGAAAAGGCACCTTATGTTATAGGTGCATTTTTTTGCCTAAAGTAAATTAGCAGAGCAGCTCTAGCATAATTATTTCAAAGGCCTGACTTTCTGTTTTTACAATGATTTTTTTTTTTTTGACACCGCGTGGATCACTAGCGGTCAGATGGTGTCACTGTCGCGCGGACTTGGGCACGTAACCAGCCAGAAGGACTCGGAGGTTATTTGTGAGCTTTGATGACCTTCCAATCCCCTCAGCGTCAAGAGCTGCCCAGCACTTTCAGACCACAAAAGTGGACTGGCACTCACGCATACCAGCAGAATTATGGGAATTCTCTGGCCTTGGGTACAACAGGGGCAACAGGGGAAGCAGCGCATCACTGGTTCTGCCATAAAACTGATCTGCCAGGTCCTTCTCTCCCAGCTGGACCAGTCACCGTGTGACCACTTACTGTATGACTACTGCAAAATTTCACCCACTTTGACTCAAAGGGGTGGGAGAGCAAAGTTGTTTTGGCACAATGGCAGCCAGAGCCGGTTGCTAGGATACAGGCTGGTGGGCTGTTCAAAGAGCACCTCTTTGATGCTGCCTAGCTTCTGAGGCACAGTGGAACCCCTGGGTCTGCGCCCCACCCACCCTACGCCATATTAACTCCCGTTCCCGTCCGATTTTGACAAGCGTGTGTTTCTGCAGGGCCGCCATTATAAAACTCAACCTAAAGATCCTACCACCGCTTTTTATGCTGTAGTCATGGAGGGAAGAGAAAAAAAACATGCCATCTCTATTGTCACAGTAATTTTCATAAATTGCCATCATCAAAACAGGGGATCAATTTGCTGTCACTGAGGACAATCCTATCTGTGAGCTAATGACAAAGAGCCCCCACCTTCTTCCTCATTTGTCCCCAGCCCCTGGAGCTAAAATTCACCCATTTAGAAAGGCTGCCCTGAGATTTCTGCACAGCGTAGCAGTATGTTTGAACATGAGAGTGCAGAGACACACACACACACACACACACACACGCACGCACGCACGCTCGCACACGTAACCTTCAGTCGCAACCTCTCTCTGTTGTTTCCAGTGCTCAGAGGAAAAGTCAGACACACCCAAACAGGATACAGGAATCCTTAAGGGCACAGCAGCCATTCAGAAGTCTTGGCAACATGATATTTCTTACCTCATACAATAAAAGCCGTCTGTACATGACAGTGAGCTATGTATCAGAGCAATTAAAATAATAAAAAAAAGACTAAGTCACATAAAAAAACTAACAGCAGTATTTTAACAAACCACATGTTGATGTTACATTTGCAATACATATTAACAGGATTAAAGTAAGATGTGAAAAAGAGGGTCTGCTCTTTTTGCTGAGGATAATATTGACATTGGACATTCTTAACAAGAACATAGGGAAAAGAACGGAAAGGCTATGCATCAAATACATCTGTTTAAACAGTATTTAAGAATCAAATATTCCTATTGCCAGAACGCGCTATAACCATGGTAGAACCTCTGCTGCACTTTAAAGGGAGAGCCAACTCAGGCACGGTGCAATGGACAACTGTGGGATCTCGGTCCATCGTGCCGACACAGTTTAGGATAGTTGTGAGGCCTCGTCCAGTTTGAAGAGCCGCATCTTCTGGGGGAGAGATTCGGGTCGACTCCCAGGAACGGTTTGCAAAATATCTCCAGGACTTTTACGTCTTTGAGGGTCGAGGATCGAGGTTTAAGGCTCGTAGGGGGGTCCTTGGGATGAGAAAGGACGAGTCCATCGAACAGATCATCAAGCCCTTCAAGAACCACTGCTCTGACACTGCAGCACTGACCACCAAGCTCAGTCACATCCCAGACCGCTCCATGCAACAACGAGCTTCTGAGAACTGCAGTGACACTGTACCAGCTGCAATCTGTTTCATACTAAAAATGCAAGTTACACATCAGAGAAGAGACTATTTATTAATATTTTTTAAATACAGTGGAAGACTTAGTGACAGGTTCACTTGACAGACAACATGTCTATCATTTCTGTCCCAAGAAGGAGGAAAAACTAACTTTAGATTTTTTATTTTTTTTTGACTGGACACTTCACAGAGCAATGATTTTTTTAAAAATAAATAAGCCTATTGCAGTAAGTTTGGATGGAAAGCACACACAGCCATGTTACTTTCAGCAATGTTGCGTCATTATTAGGGAATTGACCTACTTGTTATTAGGGAAGGAAATCTTTTTTTTGAATGAATCTGTAACATCTAGGATTCATCATGCCTTTTATGGAAGGTCCAATTGCACGCACAATAAATCTCGGTTCCCTCCATCACCAGGTGGGTCGGACTTTGCTCACTCTTCATTCACGGGTGAAATATTCCATTAACACCCTTTCTTAACAAGACCCCTATTAATTTTGCAGGACGCAAAGGAGGCAGAGTATGACACACGGCCTCAGCGTGGCGTCCCTCGTTCGGGTCATGATGGAAATCGAGAGGGGGAACACGGAAATAACACAGCCCAAGCAGCGGGGATGGCAGAAATCCTGACCACTAGTGGAAAATCAGACGACTATTAGCTGAAATGCTATGCTAACACGGGACCGGGACGGGACTGAATAGGCCTACATTCTCCTTCTACCCTAAGGTACGAATTACTCAGCAAGAAAGAATATAAAAGATGACAAAGAAACTCAAGACACGACATGTTTTTTCTTATGTTTAGGTACTTAATATTGATATTCAGAACAAATGTGAAATAGGCCTATCTAAAAATACGAAAGTACTGCAGACTTTGGTGTAACATATAGTTACTGGGTATCACTGCACTGTTAAGATAGCAACTATAAATGAAATTAGTGCTGACACAATGCATAACACTTAGCTATTCAGTCAGACTCCCGGGAGACCCCCACTTCACACTGTCAAGCGAGGAAACAATTTCATAGTTTTACAGCTGGGATTCCCATTGTAACACTGAAAGCTCTGATCTTTTCTTGCCTTTCCGCGTAAATAAATTTCACTTCCATTCAGGCACCAAGAATGGAAAAACAGATAATCTCTCTAAATACGTTTTCTAAATGTCTATACAATCCGATGAAAGTAACGGCAACGAGTCAACAATCTGTTTGTATTAACGAGGGATCAAAAAATAAAAAAGTTAAGGACTTCTCCACTGAAAGTGGTCTAAAATGGGAAAAAACTGGGGGTCCACAGAAATACGATCATTTAAAAGCGAGAGTTTGAGGGCCGAAGGTCATAGAAATGCCAACTGGACAGAAAAATTCAGGTTCATGGGCCAGTCCTCTAGTCGCATCAGCCCCAAGACACTAAGCAATGTTCTTGCGTCCCAAAGACTTCCCAACACTGAAAGCCACTGCTCGTGTCATTGTGTGCACACATTGCCATAATGAAGCTGTTTCTTGCCATTTATCTTTGTTACTGATTCCAGTTTTCCGCACTGCCATTCATTTCCTGTATGTAAAATACCATCTTCAGCTAGTTCTTTAGTGCAGTTCTGGAATGGGGACCTTTTTGTCCGCTGCAGCTGGGTCATTTACAGGGACATCAAATGGACGGTGTACACTGAAGTATCTTCTGCAAAAGGGGTTATCGTCACAAGCCAGTCTAAGGCTATTTATCAGAACTGCCAACTTCTCCTCAGCCTGCTCCTGCCCAACATGGACCCAGATTCACATGCTATCCAGACGTTTCTCAATCAAGCATTGATACACTGGAGGATTTAGCTTCTTCACTTTCATCCTTCCCCCCTTCTCTGGTACGCGTAGAATCTGCTTTCTAATAGCAAGCTTGGGGAATTCACAGGCTGTTATCATAGGCAAATGAACAGTGACGGCAAAGACAATTAACAACAAGGCCGTGCGGCGACGGACGGGCCACGCGACGGACGGCACGAGGTTGTGCTAGTGCCTGCGGTCTGCTCATATTGCATGGAGACATACAGGTACAAGGCCAGAATGCCAGACTGAGAACCACGCATGGCGATGGGATTCCAGTGGGATCCAAGCAAGTTTATTGCATACTTCTTCACAGTACCTCTCATAGTGGTTTTCAGACTATCATCTCCAGTTTTGCAAATGGCCACAGGTAACGGACCAACTGAATGATTTTAAAAAAGTTGACACCTAAATAACCAGCTTTCCTTGGAAAAAGGATTGTTTTTATTCCTCACGTTCTAAGACCATCCTTTCAAAGCTATCTGATCTTAGGAAAGGGAGGGATCATCAGGGAGTCTGTGTTTATTTTTTGAGCGGGAGCTTTGGAACAACTTCATTGACCGTGATTATCACACATGGCCTTGTGGCAAAACTGACCCCTCCTATCTGGTGCCGCAAAGCAGGTGGGGACTGTCTCCAGGGACACCAGGAAGCCCAAGGGGAAAGGGGCGGGGCTCAGCACTCCGTACAGCTAATCATTTGGGGCTGTGCTAGCAATACAGGGACAATTTGTTGCGCCGCATGGCCTCGCTCATCAGGTAGGCGGGGCTAACCTCGGGCTCCTCAGTCATGACCACGATATTCTGCCACTCCCCTGACTGGTTGGACTTTTTGATAGTGTCCACCACACACAGGGCATAGAGGCAGTCCTCAAAGGTGGCCGCCATGGTGAGCGGCCGGCCGTCCCAGGTACGCCGGTCCTCTTGGCCCTGGAAGGCCTGCCTAACGGCCTGAACCATGCAGACGGTACCGGTGAGGTAGGGGGCTGGGATGTCTCTAAAGGCCTTCTCGGGCAGCGAGGCATTGCCCAGCGGCGTGTCGTCTTTGAGCAGCAGCTCCCGACAGGGGGCGCCGTTCTTCTGGCCGTACAGGTCCGTGCCGCAAACCATGAGGCGGCCGACCGAGCCCACCACCGCCACCTCCTGGCGGAACTCGCCAGGCACATTGAAGTTCAGCGTGACTGTGCAGCAGGCGCCGCCCTCTAGGACCATCTGGAAGGTGCAGAAATCATCGCTGGTGATCTGCCGCACGCCGCGGATGTGCTCCGTCTGCTTGACGAAGGTCTTGAGCAGCCCGTGCGCCTTGGCCGCCTTGCGGCCGGTGAGGAACGCCAGCAGGTCGATGAGGTAGCTGCCCACAGAGTGCAGCCCGCCGCCGCCCATCAGCTCGTCGCAGCTCCAGTTGTACCTGCGGCCCAGCAGGCTGCCGCCATGCACTTGTGCCTCACACACCAGCAGGTCGCCCACGAAGCCCTCCTCCACCAGCTCCTTCATGCGCACAAAGGCCGGCAGGAAGCGCAGCACATTTCCCATGATGCTCAGCAGCTTGGGGTAGTACTGGGCCGCTGACATCATGCGGAAGGCGTCCAGCGGGGTGGCGGTCCGGTCGCAGATGACATTCTTGCCGATACCTGAAAGAAACAGACGAGACTGAGGTCTATAAGAGGTTCCATGATGACATTTTAGGTCCATTAAACAAGCCTCGGGAGACAGATCAGACGCATCAGGAGAAGTGAAATGTGCACCAGGAGAGAAATGCTGCTGCTGTCACCAATGAGGGTGCGATTACCAAGCACTACAGAGTACAATCAATCAAGAACTTTCTAGAACCACCACACTGCAAATCTATAGCCCGTCAGCAAACACAGAATTCTCCAATTCTGTCTTTCACACTAATTTTATCACCTTAACCTCTTGGCCCATTTTACATCCCAGGAGCAAACAACCTTCCCAAAACCAAACAGTTCCTGTTCTTTACACAGTAATTTCTCACCTAACAATCCTTTCACACAGTGATGTCCTGACATTCAGCCACATGTGACATAATGGATGAAACATCCAAAGTTCATTCTTCCTAGCAGTTGGCAAAATGGATTGGGAACATAAATCATGCACATAAAATGCAGCCATTCATTTTCACATGCATAACTGAGGTTGCCAGTTATGTTATTCATACAAAAAAAAATCTGGGTGGAGCAATTCAAGCCAAGAATAAAACTTTTACCTCTAGTACAGCCTTTCCTTGAGTTACGCAAGTAATTTGTTCCTGAGTAACCACTGTAACAAATTATTTTTAATTGATGAAATTAATGCCCAGGATAACCAAAAACCCCAATATTCCCAAATATTTCTAGAACAATGAAAAAAGCTTGTATGAGTAACAAACAACAATTTTTAAATAAAATTTAATGCACTGAAGCTTTAATGTACTCAATAATTAAATGTACTGTTTTTCCACGTTTGGGTGATATGGTAATTTTTGAAAATTTTTTCAAAAATTTGAAAAATGTTTGAGGAGCTGAAGAAAAATCAGCATGTAGCAAAACTCAATACCTGTTATTAAAAAAAAAAAGAGAGTAAAGTTTACCGTTAGTGGAGTGAGTACTGTATTACTGTGCTTTAACTGTGTCTGAAGAGAGTAAGTAAATAAAAATAATAAAATATGCACCTTCTCGCAACTGTAAGTCGGAGTGGGAATTCAGGAAATACCAGTAGGTTTTCTTTTATGTGAAAAGTTGGCATGATACTAGCAGGGAGGATAATGCGACACCTACGCACGTTTGAAATGATTCATATGTCCTTGGTAGTGTTTTAGTCAAATGCGTCATACAGATGAACTAACAAGCACGCATGCATGCAACAACTGGCCAGACTCATGCAGGCCAAAAGGTGTGTGCGTCTGTATGGAGGAAGTAGCAGAGTGAATCCGATGGCTCCCCCAAAGAGATCCATTCATGTGGAGAGAGGGAGCGGAAGAACGAAAGAGAGACTGCTGTTGAGGTGCCATAGGGACCACAGGCCCCCCAGCTATTTGCAACAGTGGCAAACTCCCACCATTCAGCCCCACCCACCCAGACAGGGCCTCCATGAAGTTGTCTGCTCCTCCATTACTCACCAAAGAACCTCATTGGTTCTCCTGCTGTGTCTGTCATAGCTCAGTTACTTCATTTTATTTCCACTTTTCAAAGCTACAATCATAATTCTCTCAGGATCTGAATTCCACCCCCCAAGGCTAGCTCTTCTCTTCAGATATATATATAGTACCAGTCAAAAGTCTGGCTTTTAATGCATATGTCTCTATTTTAGCTACATTATTCATCTTAGAGTAAAAGGCCTGCAGGCAACGAATATCGAATCAAATCAATGAATATCAATCAAATATTGTTATAACCAAGTGTTCAAAATCTCAAATTTCTCTCAAATTTTAGGCTCATCAAAATAACCCCTTTTTGCTTCGATGACAGCTTTGCAGACTCTTACCATTCTTTCAACCAGCTTTCAAATGTAACCACCTGGAATGCCTCTCCAACAGTCCTGAAAGAGTTTCCACAAGTTCTGGGCAAAGATTGGGACCTTGTACTTACCGCAATCCAACTCATCACAAACCAGCTCTATAGGCTTTAGGTCGGTGGATTGTGGTAGCCAGGTCATTGGTCACAGCACTCCATCTATTTACTTGTTCACAAGATAATACAGCACTTTCATGACCTTGAGGTGTGCTTAGGGTCACTATCTTGTTGAAAAACAAATGAATTTCACTAGGTGTGTCCCGACTTTTGACTGGTCCGACACCTGTAATGTTCTGGTCATAAGTTGAGATATTCCAGACAACAGAGAAGTAGCTCAAGCTAGACCTACAAAGGGTGGAGAGCAAATCACAGTTAAAAAAAAAAAAAATTAAGGCAAATGTAGAGCCCAAAAATGACACAAAGAGGCTGGATTGAACCGGTAGGTATAGTAGTGCAGTTTGCATCACAATTTAAAACATAACATGTTGACAGGTACCAACACAAAACTCCACCTCCTGTTCTGTGTCCCCAAACATAGGGACACTCTCCTCCTCCTTCAAAACCTTTGTCCTAATAGAAGCAAAATTTGGTCACAGCTGTACAAGATGGACTTGGTTTCACCATAGAGAACACGCAATAGTTTTGCCTCAGGGTGATAGGGGGAGGAGATTTTAATAGGAATGTTTTGGTTTACCAGATTCAACTCAAAATAACCACCTGTAGGCAGAGATTTGAGATGCTTCCTCCCGTCCTGTACTACGTTGCAGTCTACTAACATTCTTTTTTGCATGGTTTCAACACAAATCCCATATAGGGCGGCGTCTTCATCACATCCATAGGGGCCTCACAAGGAAACCAAAGCTGGGGACGAGGAAAGCCTCATAGCCACTGCCCACCACCCCCCAAAGCAAAAACACAGTCACAACATCTGACAACACACACCCCCATGGAAAACAACTCAAGGGCAGCTTGTACGTCACACTGTCATTCAGAGTTAAGCAACATAGCTAAATACAAAAAGAACATAACAATATCATCCAGTCATGTTGATACTGATGCATCTGGACTCACCATTTTTCGCCGCTGTGTGAATGAGAGCGTGAATGGGTGAACGTGAGGCAAAACTGTAAAGCGCTTTGAGTGCTCATAGGAGCAGAAAATGCGCAATATAAAAACAATCTATTTACCATTTACCAATTAGAAAGTAATCCTTACTATGCGGGCTTAGTTACTTCCATGAGCCTGAAATCAAAAACTAGTTTCACGTCTGGCCAGACAAGGTACAAAGTGATCAAGGACGGACATTAGGGTCGTCAGTTAGGCCAGAACCTGAACATGCATCAAAATGGTACTTACTGAAAAATGAAATGTCTTTGTATAATAATACAGCTTAAAGAGGAAAAGCCTGAAGAGCTCAATTTACAACCCCCCAGACCCCATGAATGTCTGAGTCAGCGGGAGGCACGGCTGCATTTGGGTGCTCTTCTGTGTTTCCATGGCAATTGATCACCAGACGTTCTTCCTACAGGCCCCTAAATTAACGAAACCCAGCTGGCTCCCACTGGACTGACTGACTTCTTATGGTGATAAATTGGGTTCTTTTGTATTTATTCTTGTTTTCTGTGCCTTTCAGGATACAGGGGCAACAACCAATGTCTTTTTTTTATTAGTTAAATATTAGCTGATTAGTTGACAACCTGCCGTAAATGCAGGTTCTGGTATGTATCAAATGCAGGTCAATTAAACTCTGAGGCAAAATAATAAACCTGCAGAGTAGATTCTGCGTTACCCTCCCCGAAAGAAAACATGGACAGAGCTGTCCTCCCGCACTAGTGACTAAGCTTTTTGCAAAAATAAATGCTAAAGAGCATCTGAGTGTATAAAAAAGGTGACTGATCAGGCCCCCCCACCAGATGGCGTTTCAACAGTAAAGACCTTCAACATAAGTTTCAAAAGAAAAAAAGAACAGAAAAAAGGAAGGAGATTTTAAGCCATCCTAAGTTTTTACATAATTGCTACATGAATGTTTTGACTACATTTGAACTCTGTCGATCACAGGTTGCCAAGATTAGTTTTACAGACTTAATTAGCACTGTAGTTCTAATTGCTGCTCATTATCTAATATTTCTATGCAGACTTAGGCAGGCAAGTGAGCCACTGCACCTGACCAACCATGTAAGAAAACTAATTCTCTCTGCGTTATGGTCACAGATTATACAGGGAACATCTGCGTTGTGAGTTATTTGTGTTGGATGAGAGCCCTCTCAGCCATTATAATACGGAGTGCCACAATTGCTTACGAGCTGCGTAGAACATGGGTGTTTTCAATGAATGGAGTCAGAGCCCAGGGGGGGGGGGGGGGGCTGCCGCTTTCACGGCCTCTGTTATCACGTGGGTCTCTCTTTAAAGGGAACAGAAAATGAAAAGCCACTGTGTCAAGGTCAGCGGATGGGGAAGCTATATAGTGTAAATGAATGAAATCCAGAAAAGCTACTCTCAACTACAATGTGAAGAAACTCCCAGGATAGTGAGGTAAATGCACCAAACCAATTATCCGCAATGCAGAGGCCCACATTCTTTGAGTAGATTAGGTTTATACGCATACACACACACACACACACACACACACACACACACACACACACACAAAAACAAAATAATGAAGTCAAACAAGAAATTGAAGGTAATATATCCATTCCACATTCAACCTATTTATAGATCTACCAATAAAAATCTTTGGCTAACTATAGTGATAACCCAATTTAATGTTCTTGAGGACAACTTTCTTATAGCTTTCGTTGATTAAGTAATTAACCCTAACCTAGTCATTATCTCATTGTGATTGAACTGTCATTTTAAAAACAACGCTGTCATAAAAGCCCTTAAACTCATTCCAGCAGAACAAGAACAATATTTAAAAGGAGCGTGTTAATTGTATTATGTCAACTATGGATTATTGCTGCCAAAAAGTATTTTTCAATAAACATCATTGAAGGAAGCATTCTTGTTATATTTAACAATATCCACCAAAAAGAAAAATAAGAGTTTGTGATTGAATCGACCTTCAAGTTCTCATCTCACTTGTCCAAGCCGGGGCCAAGATCCGGTCTTGAAACCTTGTA